TNCTTTTTATTTTGCTTAAACATCAATCCACTGGTCTTCACTGTCTCTCCCATTTCCTATCCCTATGGTAGTCCTATTTCCTGTGTCATTCCTTGGATCTCCRAGGACACCTCTGATCTGTCCTCCTTAAACCAATGAAAAATCAGTCTCTGACCCTCTATAGTCGCAACTTTGCCACTGGSCAATACCTTATTCTGAAATTTCGTGAGAATAGCCTTCGCCTTTTCAGGGTTTATTGCTGCTTGTATTTTGATCCTCTGCCATTGAGCTCTAATGTCTGTTTCCAATAGATTATAGAGCGTGGTTCTGGCTTCCATCCTRGTCATCAGACTTTTGCCGATCACCCGTTGACATCTCCGTTTCCAGATAATCCACAATGAATACTGTCTCAATAGCTGAAAGATGTATTTTTCACTCTCCTTCCATGTCTTAGGTACTTCTCTTCCCATAAGCAAGAGCCTTGTGCTACTTGGAAAGAGAACGTCTGTAGTACGCTCCCAAAGTTTACCGGCCATAGCCCATATGTATTCTGCTTCCGTACAATTAAGTAGACAATGTACCATCGTTTCAGGCTCTTTGTCAATGCACATAGTACAGTCTTGTTGTATTTCTTCTCTATTCTGCCTACTCCTTTTTTCATATAACCATACGTTAACCGGAAGTGCCACATGGAATATAAGCCACTGCATACTCCGGATCTTGCCCAACCTGATACCATGAAGGCTTGACCATGGTATTTTGCCTACCTGTTGTCTTGGTATGCCCACCCTTTTTTCCCATCTTATCGCCAAAGGCCTATCCAAGTGGTTCGACCTTCTTCTAAGCCRATATCCCCATTTAGTYGTATACTGAAGTATGTTAATTTTYTTGACCACTCGTGACGAGCTTCCCTTGATGTTCCATGCCCATTCAACTGGGTCCACCTCTAGATTCTGAATGGTGATCGTTGGAGCATATATTGTGAATTCATCATTCTCTATGACTCTTGACTTTTCTCAAGAGATCCTTCTTGATGGTGATCGGTACCCTAGAATCCTTATCTAAGTGGCTCACTGTGTTGCCTGGGGTAAAGATTGAATACATATCCGCTTCCAACCACTGTTTATCTGGTCCTACCTCCTGACCAATTCGAAAAGCTTGCTGGGGTTCTACACTATGACTCCAGATTGCCCAATCACCCCATCCCCATTTGTATGGACTCCTCAACATCCTCGTCCAATCCTCCGGAATGGAGATTAATATGTCGTTCAGGTTTTCAATTAGTCTATGACACCCCTTCATTTCTTCCCTCAGTTCTCTACCCGTTTTCCATCTTCCATTCAATTCTGACCATAGATGTTTCACTTGCCATACTCCATGTTCCAACCAGTTTCCCCACTTGGCATCCTTTGTTGTGAGTGTCCTTGGTTTTCCTTGGGGTCCTTCAACCATGGATTACGAAATAACGGTTGCCTAAGTACTTCCTCCTTCATCCTTGGTTTTCTTACTCTTTCCGGGAATATATCTATCCAAATCTTAAGTATTTGAGCCCAATATGAATTCCTGGTCGATTCATCTTCCCCTTCCTGTATTCCTTCTCTTCTCCTTTTGGCCCAACCTTTACAAAAAAAACAGAACGTTCCTTCCATATTAGGAGGAGTTTATACTTAGCCATCCCTCGTATATGGTCCAAAACCAATGAAACCCAGCGAAGATGGGGTTGTGTGAGTAATTTGATAACCCATTTAGTTTGGAGTGCTTTGATCTGCTGACTCGGATCGAGGATTCCCAAGCCCCCCTGATCCTTTGTCTGAATAACCTGTCTCCATGCTACCTTTGAAATATAATTTATCTTAGTAGGGTTCGCTGTCTAGAGGTATGTTGCTGCCTCTCTCCTGAGCTTGTTTAGAGAGTGTAATGGAGGTGTCCATATTGTTCCTGCGTACCATAACATGGAGAAGATAGAAGCGTTTAATATTAGTGCCCTCCCAAAAAGTGACGTGTAAATTTCAGACCATACTGACATTTTGGCTAACATTTTGGTCATCTGTTGTTGTGCCATCGAGTAGTGAGGACCTGTATCTACTAGTATGATCCCCAAATACCTCAGTGGTTGATCTGATGACGCCCATGTCATTCCCCCAAAATTCGGCGGGTGAGGTAGAGTTTGATGGTCATCATGTGATAGCCACCATCCCACTGTTTTAGGCCAATTAATTTTCATTTCCGAGGCCAGTTGGAAGGCATCCATCGCTTTCGTGAGAGCTTGAAAAGACGAATCTGTAGCCCTAATTAGGACCGTCAAATCGTCTGCGAACAGTATCGTTGTTGGCAACTATATGAGACGACCCTGTTGATCCGGTTCCATTATCAGACGATCTATGCCTGGGTCTTTCCTGAGAAAGGAAGCTATAGCCTCCATTATAAACAGGAAGATAGGTGCCGCCAACGGGTCCCCTTGTCTAACCGATCTACTTATTTTATATCTTCCTTATAAATGACCGTTGACTTGTACCTGACCATGTGCGTCATTATACAACACCCTAATCCATTTGCGAAAGTTAGGCCCCACGCCCATCTTCTCCATGCATTGTTGCAGAAAGTTCCAGTTTACCTGGTCATATGCTTTTTCAAAATCAAAAAAGAGAATTGTTGCGTTAATCCTCTTGTCTGTAATATACCTGACCGATTCCGATAAGGTCATTACATTATCCAATATAAATCTCCCCGGGATAAAACCTGTTTGATCTAAACGGAATGCTTTGTCTGCTATCCTTCTCAATCGATTTGCCAAAGCTTTAGCTACTATCTTATGAGTAAAAGTCAGAAGTGTAATTGGTCTATAATTTCTGATATCTTTGGGGTCTCCCTTTTTATATTGAAGTGTAACTATTCTTGTCGCCGATTCCACCCCTAGACCTTCTTTTCGCCATGCGTAGTTGAGGAAGGCTTCGTATTCTCCTCCCAAGATAGGCCAAAACTCCATCCAGAATTCTTTTGTAAGACCGTCCCTACCTGGAGTCTTATTAGAAGGCATAGACTGTAGGGCTTCGTACAACTCTTCCTGGGTCAGTGGTGCATCTAACATTTGCACTTGTTCCCCCTTTATTGTACAGTCGAGATATGTGAGGAATTTGTTTCTGACTTCTTTTAAATAATGCGATTCTTCCTCCCCTTCCCTTGAACTGTATAATGTACTATAAAAATTATAGGCCACTGACAACATCCCTTTTGGGTCTGTCACCAAACCCTGCGGTCCGTCCATCTGTTCAATTAATGTGTTTCTTCCCCTTGTTTTAATCTTTTGAAAGAAGTACTTCGTCATTCTTTCTCCCTCCTCCCAATCTCTTACGCGCGCTCTCATTTGTAACCCCTTAGCTCTCCAACGTTCCCAATCTCCCAATTCCCTTCTTGCGGACTCTATTATTTTCTCATATATCTCTAACCCCGGGTTATTAATTAAATTCCTTTCTGCTATATGTAACGCCCTTTGTAGTTCTAATTGTCTTGCCGCTCTCCTAGCCGCCAATTGCCTAGCTACTGCTGATATTACTCTTGTGATAGCTTCTATTAGATCAGGGAACGTATGTGCTTCAGAATTGAATGTTAGGCATACTCACTACAACTTCTCTCAATTCCCGAGTTTTTAATAATGAATTATTAACCTTGTAAGAACTCCTCCCCCTATCGATGTGCTTATCCATGATCAGATTAAGAAATATCGGTTTATGATCCAGACAGCTGCAGTATGGTAAGTCTCCTATCCCTACGGAATGCACCACTCCTATCATATCCTGAGATATGAGAAAGTAATCTATCCTAGATGCTGACATGTGCTGACTTCGATTCCTTTTATAGTAAGTAAACTGCTTTTGGTCTGGTTGTTGTAGTCTAAAAGGATCTATAAGTTCTCTTGATGCCATAAGATTGTGGATAGGTAGAGCCTCGTCCCACATAAGTCCCTCTCCTATTCCTGACCTCCCCCCCAACAATCTATCCTTACCTGGTTCAAGAGTAGCATTCCAATTCCCTACTAAAATGATATGTCTTGACGAATCTATGTGGGTCTGTAACAGGTTTATCATATCCAACCTTGATTGCCAGGAGTTAGGACAGTAGACTGTGAATAATGTAAACTGTTCTTCTTGATATGTGAAATTTAATTTTATCCAGCGTCCTTCTCCGTCATCTACTTTTACATCCTGTAGTATTATTTTGTTTGCTGCCATAGTCCTTTTATTCTGTAATATAGCTACTCCTGATGAATGTGGTCTGGCTGCTGGAGCCCAAAAGCTTGTTTTAACCCACCTCAACTGCTTTAATATGCGTTGCTGAATTTGCTGATGAGCCGTAGATTCCGTAAGATGGGTTTCCTGTATACATAAGAAATCCGGTGGATTCCTCCCAAACCAGTCAGAGTACCTCATTACATTTTCCCATTTATCTTTATTTTTTAATATTTGTACCATCCCATTGATGTTCCAAGACATGATTCTGAGGTTTGTCTGCCTACCTCTTGAGTAAAGTATTGTCCTTCTTCTCCTTTCTATCACCCCTCCCGGTGTCCCCTCCATAACCTATTTTTTCCATGTTTGCCTCATGAACAATTGTGATCTCACGAACCTGTGTGGGATAAGTCTATCGTCGTAGCATAGGGCCCTATATTGCTATCTATGTAATCTGGCTGCCACGAAAAGATAATAGTTTTGGTGACTATTGCCGCCCCTCTTGCCACCCGTTCTGACGCCTTTGATCCCCCCAAGAGACCATATGGAATAGTCTCCACCACCTGCCAAGGCATCCAGATTAAGCTGTCTACCAATTTTGCCTTTTCCTGCAATTTGATCATGATGGGCTTGTAGTCTACCTTATGCGTACTACCCCCCGACTCCGTCCATTCCTCCCGATCTTGTTCAAGGATCCCTACTACATGTGCCTATGCCGGGAGATCCTTGGAGATCATCTCTCCGAAGATATCTCGCGAACAACAACTATCTTTTGTTGTGACCAATGCTAGAGACCTTTGGATAGCCACTTCCCAGTCAGAATTGCCACTGTTCCAGCGGTAAGGAAGGACAATTCTCCTCCCCGGGTTTTGCCTTGCGTACAGTTTGGCCGCTGCGTTGATGTCTGTGTGTGGTGCGTAGGCAATGTTCTGCAGATTGATAGTGTCCTCCTCCAATTCCCGATTCTGGTCCTTCAAAACGTTGATTTGTGCCTCCAAAATGGTTGTCTGTCTCTTTTCCTCCTCCATCTGTTCTTCCTCTGTCGTTCCTTGCTCGGAATCCACTGATTCCTGATTGTTGCTGCTTGCCCCCTCTGCCGCTTCCTGCCGGGCTTTGCATTTCTGTTCTGATCTCTTCAATCCCTGTGGTTGGTAAGATTTTGGCCACATGAACTGTTTGACATACCCCGAGTTGTGCACCTCGATATTATTGTTAAGTGGTCGGGCCTTCCACGCATACTGTGTTGCATAGAATTCATTCACCTCTTGCTCCTTCTTTAACCATTCAAAACGGTTTGCTGTTGTGATATCATTTCCCTCTGCTGTAGCATTCTTCAGATTGCGCGAGTGTTTGTGATGCGCCAGGCGGATTTCACATTCTATGTGTCTCTCCCACTTCAACTTATGGACTGTCCTAATCCATTGCGCTAATGTTTCCGGTTCCTCTTCCTCCTCCTCGTCTTCCTCCTCTTCGTCACCCCAATCGCCATCATCGCTGCCTTCCTTACCCTCTTCATCCTGATCCATGTCCTGTGCCATTTTGTCTGTCTCTCCTTCTCCTCCCCCTTCCGATTCCTTTACCGTTTTTCCAGTTCCGTCTGTCGGTGAGGTCGTTGCTGAGCTGGAGCGTCTTGCTGAACCA